GTTAATTTTCTTACTAATTTAGTATTTTAGAGAGAAATAAACAATCTCTTGTTAATTTATAATTTTCTAATAATAAGTTTGAGGGGGCTGAGGGCATGAGAAGATGGTGAAGCAAAAGCTAGCTCCTGTGTCAAATAATATGCAAATACAAAGAAGTAGGAGGGAACAAGGTAGACATGAAATAAACATTTTCCTCCAAAATTTCTCCATATGCGGAGAGAAAACTTGTAGAGGAAATATGGTGGGTTTCACACCTCAATTTCTCCCCAACTTTTTCTGCATCTCACTTTTTCTTTCTCATCCAAATAAAAAAAAAAAAGGTTTTCTCCCTTAGTTTTCCTCCACATTTTCTTTCCTTCCATATTTTTAGCCCATCCAACAGGACATAAAACCCAACGAGATATGTAGAGAGGAAACGCCTAAATGAAAGGGTGCGTTGCATCAACCATCTTCCAAAACGACCACAAACAAGTCATGGTTTATGCGGAGCAGTTTGTAGCCTGTGAGAGAGTAGTTTCTCTACATGATGGCAAGCATAAAGGTTACGGACTCAAATCTAGAGTAATTGTTAGGTTGTGCAAAAAAAATTTAGTTCGATCCGGTTCAATCCAATCCGAGACAACTCAATTTTGTTCGATTTGGATAAAAACTAGTCTTTCAAAAGCAAAAGACTAGACTTTTTTTTTAGTTGGATTGGATAAGAAATGAGTATATGGACTACTTGACTTAATTCAATCCTCTAAATTTATTTAATATAATTATAATTTATTTATTAATTATTATTACAGTTAGTTAATTTATAAGAATAATTTGTAATTTTTTTGTGTTTTACACTTGTAAAGTCATGAATATTAAGCAAAATTCTAGCATTGACCAAGCTCAATCTTCTTCTTTTATTGATGAAATTTGTCGTTAACTTGGAGTAATAAACTTTAGATATGTTGAAAGTTATTTAATATTATTAAATTTGAATCCTTTGTATTGTAATTAAAATACTTTTTGTTATTGTTAGGAATTGTTGGGGATTTATAATTGTAGTTACGGTGATAATTTTTTTATGACTATAAGTAGTTTTATTATGTTAGTTGAGTTTATTATGTTGAAAAAGAAAAAAAAATAAAGTGAGATACTGAATAAGACTAGAACCAGTCTTCTAGTTTTATTAGATCAGTCCGATCTCATTCAACTTTAGATTATATCAAGATAAAACCTAACTATAAATTGCCTAATTCAATTCTTTTTAAAAAAAAAACCTGCCAAACAAAAGAAAAAGAAAAAAAAAAACATAAGCGACATAAGCGAACCTGCCAAACACCCTAGTCAATCAAAATTTTGTTGAGCTAGTCTTTGTGTAGCCTTATTAACCAACGGGCTCTCCCTTAAAAAAAAAAAAAAAGAAAAGAAAAAGAAAGAGTAGTCACAAGAGACATAAGCGAACCTGCCAAACACCCTAGTCAATCAATCTCCTCTCAACACGCAGAGTATCATCCCGCTATGGCTTTGTGGTTTAGCTACTCTAGCTAGCCAGATCTAGGATTAGCCATCACTCTTAGGATATTTACATTTTTTTCCTCTACTCTAGTTTGTGCCAATCCCTGTTTTCTTCAGTATCACTTGATTTCTCTAGTGATCTAAGCCCCGCTCATCAGTTTAGTCTCAGTCATTCAAGGGAATTGAGGTGAAGGATGTCGGAATCCACAACACCTTAATTAAGAACATGCTGCTCCGACTTGAACTCGGCTCCTCACCTTTGAGAAAACCTCCTCTGTCTTTTCTTTGAGATAGAAGTTACTTTATATCATCAAGATTTAATGTAGATAATTTAAATTTTTAATTTTTTTAATTTTTTATTTACATTTTTAAATAAAAATAAATAAAAATTAAAAAAATTTAATAAATATATTTATAAATCTGATAGTCCAGATTTAATATAAATAATTTAAATATAATATTAAATTTCTTTAATAAATTTATTATTCTGTTCATAATATATTTGCACTATTTAAAATATATTTGAAAAGTTAATTTAAATTTTTTATATTAAATTTGAATCATCTGTATTAAATTTGAATTGTCAAATTGATAAATATATTTATTAAATTTTTTATATATTTTTATTTTAGAAATATAAATAAAAAATAAAAATAAAAATGTTAAATTTGGACTGTTTAAATTAAATCTGAATGATTTAAATTTACCTCTATCTCAAAATAGATGCAAAAAAGGCTTCTTTCAAAGGAGAGAAGCCGAGTCCCTCTGACATATGCCTAGTGCTTGTGTGGTGCTTTGTCTATTTCACTCCAATAGTTACATTTGTAATATTAAATATAAATTTAATTCTTCATTCTTTTTTATAATATAAAATTATCTAATTTAAACATATCAGTAAAATACTTTTAACCAATTTATATTTTAAAATTTTGAGAAATTTAATGTAGGTCTTTATAATTTTTCTCAGTTTTGAATTGAGCCCTTGTAGGTTGATTTGTTAGATCTATTAATTTTGGAAAGTCAAAATAGTTAATGAAAGACTAACTTTCCTAGAACAAAAATATTTTTGATGCTTATAGAAAATTTGATTTTATACTTTTTTCACAAAAAATTAATTTAATACAATATTTGTATTTTCTACTAATTTTTTCAAAAAAATATTAATTATTCATAAGAGTTTATAAATTTTTTATTTATAAAAACATCCAACCCCCAAAAATTTGTTTTATATTTAAAAACGGAGAAAATATATTATTAAAACGCATTTCTTTTACACATATGAACGCATAAATTTGTTTCCTTGCATAATCAATCAATTATCATAAAACTTAAACTAACCATACAGTTCCTAGTTAGTAAAAATCTAGCATAATCAATCATCATAAAACTTAAACTAACCATACAGTTCCTAGTTAGTAAAATTCTAGCATAATCAATCAATTATATCCTTAAAAAGTATTCGTTATTTTCCAATCAAGTGATGACATTAATAGTCTATGCACAATTTGTAAAAGCACACACTCGATAGTAACCCAGTTGGAAGCCTTAAAAACTTGTGTTTGCTGCATGTAGTTCATCAACTAAAAATGTTATTGGGATTATCGAAAAAAATTGGTTATCATTACGCCTAATTTGGGCTTGGCATGCATATTGGGCCTACCAAAAAGGGAAGAAATGCATGTGAGAAGCCAAACCCAATGAGACATGTAAAGAGGCTGCGCTTAGATGAAACGGTGCGTTGCATCGACCATCTTCCAAAACGACCCGTAAGCCATGAGTCTCGGATTATGCGGAGCAATTTATAGCCTATGTGAGTGGACTAGTTTCTCTACATGATGGCAAGAATAATGGTTACGCTTTCAAATCCAGAATAACTGTGATCCCTTTAAAAGAACAAGGGAGCATTTCAAATAAAGGCCAAGAATATGACTTAATTATTAATGAGTGTCAAATTTTTTTAAAATTTCAGTTATTCAAAGGATAAAAGTAAAAATAATTTCAACTGTAAAAAATTAAAGCATTGCTCGTTACACAAAATTATTAGTTGTTAATTTACTTACTTCACTTGTTAATTTACTAATATGTGTTACAAATTATATGACTTAACATGTAAATAATTATATAACACTTGATATCAATTGTTTAATTATAAGTAGTAACATCAATTATTAAATTATTAATTTTACTTTTTAATTTACTAATATTAATTGTAAAGTGTACAGCAGACTAATGTTATAACTAAATGGTACTTTAGTTGTAACTTATAATTAATGTTAGTAAATTAATAAATAAAGTTAATAAATTAATAATTAATATTATTGCTTGTATAACAAACAGATGTAATTTATAAGTGATTTTTATAAATTAAAGAATTAAATAAAAAAATTAATAACTTGTTATTTTACATAATAAATGAAGAGTACTTTAAACTTTTTATGGTTAAAATTATTTTACTTTTATTTTTTAAATTAAATTAAAATTTTAAAAAAAATTTTTAGACCCATTAATAATTAAATTAGATCTCTGATCCTTGTTTAAAGTTCTCCCAAAGAAAAAAGGGTAGCCACAAGGGGCGTCAACCAACCTGCCAAACACTCTAGTCAATCAATTTACTCTCAAACATGCAAAGCATCACCCTGCCGTGATTGTGTGATTTAGCCACTCCACCGAGATCTAGAATTAGTCATAACTCTCAGAATATTTACTTTTTTCATTTCTTCTCTTTCTTTGTTTTTTGTTTTTTTCCTATTGTAACTCGTGCTTATCTCCATTTTCTTCAATATCATGCGATTTCTCCTGTGATCTAAGCCCCGCTCATCAATTTAGTCTCAATGAACCAAGAGAATTGAGGTAAAGGATCTTAGAGATTAAGAACATGCTCCTTTAACATCTGCCTCGTGCACATGCTTTGTCTATTTCACGCAAATAACTACATTTGTAATATTAAATATAAATGTAGTTCCTCGGTTCTTTTTTATAAAATAAAATTATCTTATTTTTTTATAATATAACATTATTTAATTTATACATATCAATGAAATACTTTTAACTAATTTATTTTTTAAAATTTTGAGAAACTTAATTTGTAGGTTCTTATAATTTTTCTCAGTTTTAAATTAAATCACCATAATTTGCTCTGTTTGATCTATTAATTCTAGAAAGTTAAAATGGTTAATATAGTGCTAATTTTCTCAAAACAAAAAATACTTTTGAAATTTATAAAAAATTTGATTTTATAATTTTTTATAATAAAAAAGAAATTTGATTTAATAAAATATTTACATTTTTATTAAGTTTTTTTTAAATATTTTTAATTTTATTTTTAAATATAAAGATCAATATTTAAAAGGTTGAAATTTCAAGAATTAAATTATATGAGACAAAATTTAAAAATTAATTTATAATTAAATGAAAATTTTAAGAACTGAATTATTAAAAATTAAAATTGATAAATTAAGTTATAATTAATTTAAAATTATAAAAATTAAATGATTAATTTTTTTAAAAAACTATCACCATGGAGAAAGTATATTATGAAAATGCATTTCCTTTACGCACGCTGCCTATAAGGCGCGTAGAGATTGCATCAAGCAGCAGAGCATTTGAGGTTCCTTACCAAAACATTTCTTACACTTACACAACCACACAAAGCAACAAAGTCTCATCTCCTTCGTCCTCTATTTTAAGGACTGGCTTCACCACTCTCTCTCCCTCCCTCCCTCTCTCTCTCTCTCGCCAGTCATCTATGGCCTCCATATCCCCAAGGTATAACAACACAGAGCCTTCGAAACCTTCTTCTCTCCTTCCTTCTCCTCGCAGCCTCAGCTCCAACTGTAGCACCACTACCAGCGGCAGCAGCAACAATGGCGTTCACCCTCCCAAATCCATTACCAGATCCGAACCCGGAAGCCCATATCCCACAACCTTTGTTCAAGCTGATACTTCTTCCTTCAAGCAGGTCGTCCAAATGCTCACCGGATCCTCCAAACCCGCCGCCTCAAACTCCTCGGACCCATCTCCGGCTAAGACCCACGCGATCCCGCCCATCAAATCCACGCCCAAGAAGCAGCAATCCTCCTCGGGGTTCAAGCTGTACGAGCGGAGGAACTCGCTCAGTAAGAATCTCAAGATCAGCCCTCTGATCCCTTCGTTTTCGCCGAACAATTCCGGTTTCTCTCCCCGAAAACCCGAGATTCTCTCGCCCAGTATTCTTGACTTTCCTTCTCTGGTTCTCAGCCCGGTCACGCCGCTCATACCCGACCCCTTCGACCGGACATCTCCGAGCTTGGATAAGGAAGCCGAAGAGAAAGCTATTAAAGAGAAAGGGTTTTTCTTACACCCTTCGCCGGCGTCAACTCCGAGGGACGCTGAACCGCGTTTGCTACCTCTGTTTCCGACGACGTCTCCGAGAGTTTCAGGCTCTTCTTCTTCTGCTTCTTCTTCCTGAGTAATCTCTGCTTTTCTGGGGGCCTTTTGGATTTTGTTCAATGCCATTGATGAGCGAGAGCGAGACAGATGAAAAGGAAAATTCGATTTGTAATTGATTGTATGAAGAGAATGGTTGAATCTTACTTTTCTCATGAATGCTGATTCAATTTACAGAATTCTGGAATCTTCATTAACTTTTAACCACTGTTCGAATTCTATCCATTATCAAATGAATTGCAGTAGATTTACTTCAATTAATGCAGATATGGATTGTATGATCCAGATCAGTTACATTAACATGCCCTAACTAATAATCAATAATTAATTAAAAAAGTATTATATTTTTGGGGATATGGAGAGACTGGAGGAAGAAAAATCGAGGGAAAAGGAACTTTGGGATACCTGTTTAGAGGTAAATTAAAGTGGAGAAGAAAGGGGAAGGAATTTGACTCTTGCGTTTGGTGCCAAGTGATCAAGCAAGAGAAGCTTTGTTTTTTTTTTTTTTTTTTTTTGCGCCAAGCATTTTATTTCTATGGGCTTGTGTTGCAGGAAAAAACACACATATTTAGGGGAAAATATATCTGAAAGTTTTTACAGTGAAGCAGCTTATAGTTTAGTTAATTAAATTTTTTAATTCTTGAAGATTAAAATCCTTAATTTTTTTAATAGAGCAAAATTAAAAGCTTTACATTTTTATTAAATGATTATATACTTTCAGAATTAATTATATAATTTTTATAACTCAAAATATATATCTGAGTTTTTACAGTGAAGCAGCTTATAGTTTAGTTATTAGTTGTTATTTCCTATACACTCCCTTCCTCTAAAAATATAAGACATTTTTAATTACATTTTATTCTTTAATAAATTCATTACTTACTTTTCAACTAATCTTATCTTTTTATATTTATTTCTATTAAACATCCTACAATAAATATAAAGTCATCATTAATAAAGTGCTTTTTAGAAAAAAAAAACAATGATTACACTTCAAAAAATACATTCAATTCCTCAAAAGATGTTTCACATTTTTGAACGAAGGGAGTATAATATTAGTATTATAAGACACTTTTAATCGATTTAAACCTTCTAATGAATTAGTTATTGACATTTAAAATTACACATTATTTTTTTCAAAGTTCACCCTTATTTAATATATTGTTTTAATTAAAAATTCTATTTATTAAACCCTTAAATAAAAATATCTTCTTAAAAATATTAATTATAACTTGAAAATTTTAAAATACCTTATATTTGAAAACATAATATTTCAAAAAAAAGTATTTTATAATACTGAATGGAAATCTTTGAAAAACATGTTGCAATATTTGGTTTGAAAATTATTGTTTTTTTTTAATAGCGATACCATACCATTTAAGAAAATATGACGCAAAATTTCGTACATGGAAAATTACTTTCACTTTCATATCTTAGGTTTTTAACCTAAATTAATTTGGTCAGTAGCCTGTGAGTATCTCTTTAAAAGCATATATTTCATTGAGAATTTAATCACTATTATATACTCAATTACTCAAATTTAAAATTTTTGGTTAAGTTGGATTAACTCCTGGACAATTGATCTAAGAATTATGGGGGAGGGGAAGCTTGCTCTAGCATGTGATCTCTTCATGACAAGCTAATGGTGTTGTAGCCTAGTGATATGAGAACTCTCACAAAAGTGAGAAGTAATGGATTTAATCTTACTTGTAACCTCGGGCCATTAGTGTCAGTTCTTTTAATTAAAAAAAAAAACATGCAATCTCTTCGAATCTATCCATTCCATAAATTCTGGCATGTTGCGTTTGAGTTGTTCAAGTTTTGTTAATTAATGTAATAATTTATTTTGGAAATAAGTTTTATATGCACCAAAAGTACAACAGTTTTTTCGCCCAAAAAGAAAATAATGTACAACTAGTTCTTAGTGTCTTCTGCTTTCCTGAGTTTCCTATAGTTGCTTTAGGATTCGGATGATTGTCAAGAATATCGTGGAATCCGAATCTATCCTTTTTGACCCCAAATTTCAATTTATAGTCAATTTCTCAGTTTTTAACGTTAGAATTAGAAGTAAAATGTAAATTTAACATATCAAAAGTTGTTGGATTGAGTGGAAGAGAAGATTGTCTAAATTTGAGTAAGTTAAAATTGACTGATGAACAATTCAATCGTGATTCACTTGACTGAAAGTTTGCTTGCAATTTGATCCACGAACAATAACAGCGCAGTCTTTATTAAAGCCGAGGGGCTGGACTTTTCATATTTAACTCAATTCAAGCTAGCTTATATAAATTAAATTTAAAATATTTTACTTCTTCTATTTTAAATTATAAAATATTTTTAAATAAAATTTTACATATTAATAAATTTCTTTAAATACATTTAAATTTATTTTTTTAAAATAAAAATATAAATTTTTAAAAATGTCCATCATTTAATATATTAAAAAGAAAATGAATAAAATTTAATTATAGAGAAATAAAGGGTAATATTGAAATTGATACATTTAATGAAACTTTAATCTACTCAAATTGTTTTATATTTTGAGATGAAATTTTTTTTTAAAAAGTGCCCTATAATTTGAGATGGAGGTAGTATCATATAAAAAAGCCAACATAGTCAAGCTCAATTCTAATCCCTTGAGCTTTTAGGCTGGTTCGAAATATTCAAATTGTCAAATAATATTTTATTTTTTATTTTTATCTAGTTTCATTTTTCTAAAAAATTAATATTTTAAATTTTATATTATTTTAGTGAAAATAAAAAAAATTCAGGCATTCGGGGCAAAGTCCATTCAAGTTTGGAATTGGCCTAAATTTTTTTAAGTTTATTCGAGCTATCCAAATAAATTTAAAATAATTTTTTTAAAACTTTTAAATTTAATTTTAAAATTTTTTAAATTTATTTAAGTTTAGCTTAAATTACTACATTTAGTTTTTATCAATTCAATCTAATTTTTTTATTTAAAAAAATATTGTTCTGGTAAGTTCTTCCACTATTGAAAGGAGCGTTCGAAAATGCAAGATGATCAAGAAAAAAGTAGTGGTTGAAATTAAAAAAAAATTAAATGGACAAGACAGAGATTAAAAATGGAAGAGATGAGAAGTCAAAGAAAAGTATGAAAATGCAGGTGAGAGCAATTAATGGATTCGTTAATGGTGTGAACAGAATAAGTACTCCGTCCATCAAACTTTCTTTTCAAATTGGGACCTCATTTGAGTTTGGTAGGAGGCTTCAATGTCTATTTGGAATCCATATTTATGTCTTTTATTATGATACGCTTTTAATTATTTTAGTGGAACAAAAAAAAAAACAAAGAGTTTGCAACTTATTAAATATATTTTAAAATAAAAATTATTTTTAATTTTACTCCTATTAAAAATAGAAAGAGGTAGATGCATAGTATCTGATGAGTTATAAAATAAAATATATAATAAGAGTATTATTATAAAATATTAATATAAAATTTATGGAGAAGATACAGAATTTATAAATCATAAATAACATAATTCACGGTAAATTTTATACAAAGTGAATATGAATTATTTAAATTAAAATTAGAAATTACACATTTATTATTTTAACAAGTATATATTTTTAACAAATTATTTAATTCAATAAATTCAATAATTCAATACTTTTAAAAATTATTTAAAATTAGGATGTGTAAGTAATAAGATTTTTTTAAATTAAGATATCCTATTAAATAAATATAAATATAAAATAAATGCAAAATTTTAAATATCATTAACTGATTTATTGAGAGTATAAATTAATTAAAATTATCTTATAATTTTAAATAAAATGGGTGTGTTTCGTGTGTGTGTGACTGCAATATATGTACACGTTTATATAGAGAGAGAGATAAAACTTATGGAGAAGATACAATATTTATAAGTCATAAATAATATAATTCAAGATAAATTTTATACAAAGTAAAAGCTTAAAATTTTATTTTTAAGATGAGTATAAATATGAATTATTTAAATTAAAATTAGAAATATATTTATTTATTTTGACAAGTATTTAATGTAAATTAAAGACAATCTTTATTGTTTTTTTTAACAAATCATTTAATTCAAGTTAAAGTTGGGTCAGCCTCCAACTGGGTCTGATATTGTTTAAAAAGTGTTTAGTACAATATAATTCAAATTGATTGCAATTTACTGTATGCTTTTGAAACTTAAACGTTAAAAAATATAAGATATTTTTAATCTTTTAAGGTGTAATAATTATTTTTTTAAAAAATATTTCATTAATAATAATTTTATATTTATTATAAAGTGCTTAATAAATATAAATATAAAAAATAAGTTAATTTAAAAATAGATAATTATTTTATTAAAAGGTAATATTTAAGAAGGAAATATGATGATATTAAAAACTTTAACAAATTGCAATATGATAATATTCATATGCAATGAATACACCAGTATTATTTTCCCCCTTAAATATAGGACTCATTTTTTAAACTAAAAAGAAATGGGGATTTAAAAGAGCACGTGATGTGGACTGGCTTGAATGTGAAGGCTTAAACAGAACAGCCGTAATGGGCAATGATGTAGAGATAAAGTGAGTTGCGTCCATGTTTGAGATTTTCAGAGAAGCTTTTTGACTGAAACGAAAGCAGAGACCAAAACCGCAAGAAAGGAGGGACTCGTGATGATGAAACGTGGGAACGGTGTACTAAAGCCACAAAACATGGCATTTACGCCACCCACTCCTTGTGTCTGTTTGTCTTTTTTCCTTTAAAAAAAAAAATAAGTTGAATTAATCATGAGAAATTTTTTTCTTGAATTTGGTACACCACAGAATCTAATAGCGAAGCAAGACCTAGGGTTGAGGGTACAAGATTATTTAATTTAAAAATTAATATTTTTTTTAAAATAATAATTATGTTAGAATTTGTAGCAATAATGTAATATAAGTAAATTGATAATTATTTTTTTAAAAAAATTATATTAGGCATGTTATATAGTCTTTTATATAAATATATTTTTCATATTTTATCTTAATCATAAAAATATTATATATTTAATAAGCTTTTGAACATAAATATTTATGTAGTTCAAAGGGTGTAAAACATCAAGAGTAGAAAATGTAAAATTTTAAAATTTACATATTATATAATTTTTTTTAAAGTGAGATGGTGCATTTACACACCCTCATCCAAACGTAGCTT